CTTCTCAAGCTTTTAAAGGGTTTTCTTTCTGACCTCATCTATCTTCATCTGACACTTCAGTTTTGTGCTTTTTATTAACAGTGAGTCAGTCCAATTTGCTGTTACCGTTTTTTTCAGGGGAATGTGTGCAATAAAAAGCTGAAAAAAGATCTTATTTCACAGCTTTCAGTAACATGCATGCCCCTTTTATTTCTTGACCAAGAATATTCTTCGGTAATATTACTGTACAAGAAATATGTTTAAATCACCAGCATTTGATGAGGCTGGATGTGTTTTTCTCAATGGGCTGCACAGCAGACTGGTCAGGCCATGTGACTTTCAACAAAACATAATATACGCAACATTTCATACCTGACTTTATACGATTCTCACACAGTATGTTAAATTAAAGTCATAATGGTATTTTCTTCTCTTCAACTGCTAAACAGTATCAATCCCATAAATGAAGGTGTTTTTTTTCCTTACATTACTAGTCAAGAACAAACTTTTCTGAAAATGAAAGCAATCCTGTTGTTATAAAAATACACTCAAGTGTTCTGCAAAGGAATAGGGGAACTCATCTTGTCCTACAGGTTGCTTAAAAGAAAGACCCATTACTACCAGGATTTTATTTTGGAGGAGATGCATTCACCTCTTCTATTCAAGTATAACATCAGTCACCTTATAAAGTCTCAGTAAGGAGCTGTATTGTCTTTCTTTAGCTGATCAGATACAAACTGGTTAACTACAACTTTTTTGAAAGTGATTCCAGTACACAAGATCCTCAACACAGCAGATTGTATTAAATGTTGTCACTTTTTGCTGAATGTCCAGCTACAATAAACAAAATATATTCCAACTAAATTTGGGGCATTACATTGTCCAACTCCTCTAGACAGACTCTTCTCAGCAAACTGACAGGTCAGCTCTCACGGGAAACCTTTCCTTTGACCCGTGCTACTCTTGTCCAGCTCTCCTGAGAAGAGCAACAGTTACTCCAGTTCGAGGTCATTCAAAATGTGAAATGTGATCTGATAGTCAAGTGCTATTAATCCAAACTCATGACTTAGTCAATAAGCGTAGATTTTTTAAACGTCTCTTTGCATGAAAATTGAGTCTTTCAGTGCCACATAAATACTATTACAGAGTTGCTTTCTGTTTAGCAAAGACTATAATGCTATTACTGCATGCTGTTGTTTTTTACCAAGACAGTACAAGGGCTGGGATCTTCCAGGTCAACTTTCCACTTGTAATAGAAACTGGTGATGAAAAAGAGACATTTTTATTGTGCTATTTTTGTTCAGAAAAGTAAGGAAGTCTTGTTTCTATCAACAGGAGCATAAAGTTCTGTTTGCAGAACTTTAAACAGCTCTGCCCAACTGTTGAAAGCAATTCTTTCACGTTTGTTTTTCTCCTGCAAAAACATCTCTTTTAACCCTTTTTCACAAACTCAATTCATTTTCTTCCTTCAGCCTCCACATTCTTCAGCTGGGATACTCCTAGTTCAAGGCCTCTCAAAGTCAAACAGCTAGGAAAGATGAGCTGAGCGTTCCTTGAGTTGCAGAGCAGCTGCACAAAAAAGGAAAATTGCATTTTCAAGTGCCAGACAAAGAATACTTTTAACCTGCAAAAACATGAAAATAACTTTTTGTGTAATACTACAAGGCGGCTTTAACTCTTTCTGTGCAGAAGTTCATTCTGACTCTTTTCAATGGGTTTTAATGTATTTTGTATGAGCAGGTGATCATTTATTTTGATGCATTACTGCATTACTGAGAGTTCCTTGCATGAGCTAACCACCCGTTACCTACATTTGTGCACTGAATTCAATCATAAAAGGAAATAAAATACTTTCCACTTTATTAACTAATACTAGCAAAAGAAACAAATATTCTTATATAATTACAAATCAACATGCTTTGAATAATTAAATAACATGCAGATTTGAATTTAAACTGGATCTCCATTTTTCTAAGTCCAGGCACATACTGAGAAAAGGTCAGGTACTAGAAGATTGTAGTTCAAAAACAACTGGTTCAAAATAAGGTAGCTTTCTCTCCCATTTTTATTTAAGTCATAAAAGGTTCCTGGCTAACAGTTTTGTACACCACCTGTTTCAAGAATAAGCAGATGACGGCGATCAGAACATTTTATCAGACATTGTTCTGATAGAGGAAGTCACACGTCAGCATTTCTTTGAAGCACCTACAGGCAGGTGCTTCCACCACTTCAGGACCGATTATTCAATTTTTTTTTTTAAATAAATTATACCACCTTACATCAAAACTATAGGGGACCTGATGATAAAGAATTACTGGGGGGAAATATCATCCTTATGCTAAACTGTTTTCAATCTTCGACCTTTGACCACATCTTTCCTTACCGTTCTTGATCTGCTACTGCCCAGGATCATATGACAAAACAAAACAGAAGATATGAGCGGATACCTAATCTTCACAACTCTTAGCTTTTTTACTAGCCTCACGAAGAAGTATTTGTGCATATGTTCCTTTGTTTATTATATATTTAAATTCACGTATGACTAACAGATTATTGACCAATGCCACATCTTTAGCTATGATGTTATAATGTTCATGAAATACACTTGTGACGCAATATTACGTATTTTCTGAAGTAGGACATGAACTCGAGAGGGAGAGGATGAAAGAAGTATTTGGTTGCCCCTGAGAAGGAGCTACAAGGAGTGAAGTGCGCTGAAACCAATCAGCGAACAAAGCTCATTCTACAGCCCATTCTACAGCTCATTCTACCACTGCCCTCCTTTTTTAAGTATATAAAGCAGTAGCTTTGATTCAGTGTGCCGCCCAAATTACCCCATTATCTGTGCATTTACATTACTGTATCTTCTTTTGCAGTTCTAAAATGAATTGCTCCAGTACAGTTCCCATATTGCTTCAGTATAGTTCCCATAGCTCCTCCTTCTATTCCCTCCTATTTAACTTGGACCAAAATATTCTGACCTCCACCAAATCTCATTAGCACTTCCGTAGGAATGTTCTCCAGTTATATCCTGTTTGTTACCACCAAGGCAAAAAGGCAAATTAATTCCAGAAAAAACCTGGAACCTTTTGATTAAACTATTTTCTCAAACCTTTTTGCTCAATAGCAAAGACACCAAAGGATGAGGAACTAGCATCAGGGCCAGTTAATTTAATCGTAGTTTCAGAAACTATAAATGGGGAGAGCAGGCCCTATTATCGTGCTTTTTCAGGTTACTGCTTTAGAAACGTTCATCCTTTTTGTTAAAAAAACCCAAACCAAACCAAACAACTTTTGATTCATAAAAAAAGAAGGCTTAGAGGCTTAGGCCTTCTATTACTTCTATTTAACTGCCAAGGCTTGTTACACGTCTTTGTAGAGAAATAATTGTAAACAAAGGAAGTTAGATATTACAAAGCTTGTATGTTTTGCATACCAGTTGCATCCTTTTACATATTGGTAAACACCGCTTTTTTTTTTTCCCCCAAATCAGAATTTTGAAGTAATTTTTTTTTTTTCAAAATTATTTTTCTTCTCAGCTGGTAAGATTTTCTCCCATCTTGATTAAAAGAAAAAACCCAACACAACACATTTTCAAGGAAGGACATGATGCATATTCTTTATAAAATTGATTCAAAAGAAAAGAAGAAAGGTGATTATGATCTGAAACCTCTTTTTTTAATGTCATGCATATTGCTGTTTTCCTGTATTGAAAAATATACAATTTAACAAATTGGAGATCCAGCTAAACATTTTTTCATAAATAGCAATTAACACTTTGGTGGATATCAGTAATGAGTCAATATTTCCTTAAAAGAAAAGAAAAAAATGCTACCTACTACTACAATTACTTTTAATCTATGTCATATATAGGGCACAACTTAGATCCCTGCGAACGGAAATGTGTAGGTGACCCCACCCTCGAAGAGACCCAATTATGCCACTGGGGATCCATTCACCCACACTCATCCAATTAGATGACCATGCCTGAATATACTGATCTACAACAGACAACCAGAAATGTCTTCTGTATTTCATCCATCTTACAACACATTCACATACATATTGGAAAAACATCCACATAAATGTTCAAATTTAAATCTAACTAGAAGAAATCAAATCCAAAGCCATAATGAAATACTCACTTCTGATTCTTGTAATTTCTTAAATTAGCCTCTATATTCTGGCATTTTGTTAACTAACTTTAAAAAAAAAAAAAAGAGTCTATTTCCACATACATGACAATTTTTTTTTGCAATATCAAATATTTCATTAACACCATTTTAGAGCCAACATTTTGATTAGCATCAAGTCAGTAAAAATCGCAACTATGGAAAGACCATGTGGACTTTCAGAAACCTAGATTATAAACTCTGTCACAGCCAAACATCAATAACATCTACTTTTAAAATACCTATTTTAAAATCTGTCTATTTAGCTAAATTTAATTAATGCATTTATTTCATAGGAATGTGCTGGATCATATTTGAGAAAATAGTATTTGTTAAATTGTTACTAAGTTTTAGATCCAACTATTTTCTTCTTGTCCTAACCGTTGGTTTTATAAGCTAATTAAGATAAAAGTTAAACTTCAGAAAGACAGGCATGCCTCAAACGAACACAGTGCCCTATCTCATAGTAATGAGTTACAGTTCTGTCAGTAACACAGCTCCAACTAAACTATTTGGTCTCTGACATTTTGAGGCTTGTAAGTTGTCCCATGGTTGGGAAAAGTGACTAGGTAGAAACCACCCGGTATTTTCCTCCCTTCAGCGTTAGTTTAAGAAATACATCAGAGCTGTACAATTTAACCTCTATGCAGACATTAAGATCTAATACTCCTCTCCTAAGAAGCCTTAGGTTAGCATTAGAGGCAAAACCCTCAAGAATTAGATGATCTGTCACAACGTAGAGAAAAGTGATCTTAGGCTGAGAACTCAGGAGCGCACACAGATTAATTACACAAAGCCTCGGTCCGTACTGCACTGCACAAGAAGGCCATCAGAATCAACGTACAGTACCTTTCATCTTGTCCCAGATCCTCACTGTCTGGCATTTCAGATGTAAAAAGGAATTATCTCTCTCTCTCTCTACCAATCTAGATAATCCAGGCAACGATCTTCTAGTCTGTTTTGTGTGTTAGAAGTGACAACCAGGGCACCTGTCCTGTTTGTTGCCGAGAAGAGCGCTCCTTGCTCAGAGGGCAAATGTTTACAAGACATCCTAAGTGCCTGCTGGTCTTGAATGAAGTTCAGAGTGTTCGGCTTTGATTGGCCAAGGCTATAAATAAACAAGTCATGACTCACCTCACACACTATGACAGGGTGTTTAGTAGCAAGCACAGCCAAAAGCAAAACATTTTTTTTTCTTCTGGTCATGTGAGGGAGAATCACCACCCAGTTAGTACATTTTATTTTTCTGCTTCCACTGGAAATCTTCCTCAGCATCTCCCATTTTTCTCAGGTGTAAGTGAGCAGCAACCAAAATGACAGGAAGCTAAATGAAACAAGCTTTAAAGTAACACACTTAAAAATATAAGAGCAAAGAGCTTACTGCAACTGTAAAAATACCCTTAAATATCCTTTTTTCCTCCCCACAAAGTGTCAGTCACAAGCTTTCAGGAGAAGCAAAATTCTTCTCCATTGACTAAATTCACAGATGAAATAAAAACTTAGCAATTCTTTTAAAATAAGGAATAGGAAAATGAGTTTTCAATAAAGATGAATTGCATTATTTTTAAGTTCTGCTTGTGGCAGACAAGCTTGAAATCAGTCTCAGCTGCCATAGGGATACCAGCAAATTATACTGGAAGAGTCCTCAAAATGAAAGTATGCCAACAGTAGGAGGTTTTCTGCCAAAATACTTCTAATGCCTCTGTGAACAACCTAAAGTGAATTGACAAATTCACTTTCCTCATATCGCTTTTTGCTGCGTGCATGACAGGGATTCTGTCACTCCAGCTACACCAGCTATGTCTCTATTAATTTTCAACACCCCAGCAACCCTATCTGTGTGGATGAAGCTTTGTCGCGCAGCCCAAGACTCCAAGGATCACATATGTAGGTTGTTCAGCACATAGCTCAGCACTGCTCCATCACGTGGCTTCCTTCTTCCATTAAACAGCTTGACCTATTGTTTTTACTATTTTCAAACAAGTATTACATCCAGAGATCTTCAGATAGAAATCTTTTTTTCTAGGAGGGAACCCAGCAAGATTTAGACCTGCCTCTCCTGCATCAGATAGTAGGAATTGTCCCGGGGATGTCACATCTTAAAAATAAATTTAAAAAACCCCAAAACAATCAACAAAGCTGGAACAAAAGGTATGTCAGATTAAAAACCAGCCAGCCCATATCTTTGATTTGTTAAGCTGTATTTGGTGCATTGTGGGTAATGCATCATTCGCCGGAAAGCTGCTTAACATTCAAAACTACAAAGGATTCTACTCTTTCTTCTTATTTTAATATGAAATGCTTCAGAATGACTAGTAAGACCCAGATAAAAATTGCAAAAATTCCCCAAACCATATAATCATAGATCTATTACTTTAAATTGCATGATTTATATTTACTATGTAAGTATCTGGATTAATAGAATGACCTCAGGAAATGGTGAGAAAACAAAACTAAACGGGAACGCTGCCTATCTGTGAATGACAACTTCCTTAACTCTTCTCCCAACATTCCAGTTAGTTCCTTTTTCCTTTTCTTAATCTCATCCAATCTTCTGTATTCATACCTTTCTTCAATCTTTCACAAGACATGTTCTTCCTGAAGCAGTTTAATGATATTGGACTTTTAAAAGAAAGGAGGGAGAAGAAAAACAGGAATAAAGTCCTATGTCTAAATGATGCAAGGCAATATATAAATATATATTAATAAATGTCCTGCCCTACTCAACAGAGATGTTCCATGGTCACCTATACCTGCATATTCCAGTATCTCTTCTTTTTTCTTTTCTTTTTCTACTTCTGATAGTTATAGCTGAAATAATTAGAGCTGAATTTCCTTCAAGCTTACCCTGAAACAACAGAGCTGCTAAATTCAAAAATCTTAATTAATAAAATGGTTTTGTGTGACAGCTTCATTTTCAGATTAAAACTCTGAAGTCCTCTAATTAGGAAAAGAATCAAAATAAATAACTGAAATCTGCAGACACACAAAAGCATCATTCAGAATTTAAATGTAGCATCAAAAATGAAAGCAAGCAAAACTAAACCCCTTGTGCAACTTGAGTTGCCTTTGTTTGCTTACATGCATCACAATGTAGTCTTACATAGCCACATGTATTTACTATGTAAAATTGCCTTTTTAAAAATATTCCTTCTTAATGGATTTGATGATCACACTCAGGAGCTGAAAGCTTTCAGTATCGTGTCTATCCCTGTATTTCAGTCTTGGAAGTCGATGTACTCCAAACTCTTCAAGTACAACTTTGGAATGTTCATTTCTTTGTCGCACTGTGCATACAGTGCTCACTGCTACAGCAGAAAAACGGTTCACTGTTTACTTTTACAATTCTCTTCCCCAGCCCTCAATGAGGTAAGGAGGATAATATCACCTCGTTTACTTATTGATAATCAAGTCTTGGAAAGATTAGGTTCAAAAGTGTCTACTAAATGAGTACCTAACTGAAATGTCAAGGACCTGTTAACGTGGAAGTAGAGCATTTCTAAAACACTTCAATACTCAAAAACTAGTTTCTACTGATATCAGTGCTCATCATTTTTGCAAATCAGACTTCAGAACAGCATGAGCACCTAATTAGCAGAACCGCAATCACACTAAAGTATTTTGCTTAGTATCACAAAGACAACTATCTAGAAAATTAATCTCAATTTTTTGATCAGTCTGAATTCTCCGCACCCAAGGGAATTATCAGCCCATCTGGAGGTTTCCAGCAGATCTGGCTCCAGACTATTTCACAGTCGCACGATTATCGGCCCATCTGGGGCCAAGTACACTTGGGTGGAACAGCAGCAGGTAAACAAAAGTACTTCTGGCATCTCCTACTGTGTCCAAAAGCGCAGCCTAGGGAAAAATGCATTGCTGCCTTCTCCAAACAGTCTTCCAGACTCCAGCTTATGGCTTATGGGTTTCCTGAACCAGCAGCGATGTCTATATTTTTAGCTCTGAGTGGATTTCCATCCTGTGATAGCATCTGTAACATCTTGTGGCCAGACTGCTGCAGCTTAACTACATACTGTTTGGAAACAAAAAAACCCAACCAAACCCCACCCAATTTTGTTTGCTCTGATCTAGCCACTTCAACTGATTTCTAAGAAGTCTTATACCGGAACAGGTAGATGACAGTTATCTCTCTTCAGTTTTCCCAGCTATTTATCATTTTTATAGACCAATATCATATTCTTTTTGATGGGCCTGCAGAATTCAAAGGTGGAGCTGCCTAGAAAAGAGCTCGTCTGGTATTGGAATTCCTAAAAACCAGTTTTAAGCTTTTTCAACATGGAAAACTCAAAGCGACTAGAAGTGACAAAACTGAGGAAGGAAAAGCTCTTTCCAATTTTTCAGGGAGGTTCTTACTTCCTTGCTTAGTTGCAGCTAACGCTACAACCTTCTAAATTGCAGGGGACTTTGGTCAGTCCTCTCTGCCCCTCGTAACTTCCTTCTTGCCATCTCTGAGGCCTCACCTCACATGACTAATCCTGCTCTTCTCAACAACCTCTTTGCTTGAGCTGCCATCTCCCAGCCTTGCTATGTCTCTCTCACTTCTCACATCCAGCATTTTCTGAAATTTTCCCTCCCCTTGGCTCTGTTGGTTCCTCAAAAGAAGGAACAACCTCTTCCCCCTAGCCCCGTTATTTCTGAAAGGAACATGAAAGCACTTGACTTTGTAATCAAAACGAAAAAGATACTATTGATCATGTTCTGCCCTTGGTCAGCTCATTCAGCTTTAAAAGGCCTATTTTGCTCACTTGTTTCATGCATGTAAGCTGCTGCACGCCCTGAAACACCCTCACTGTTCTTTTCCAAACTCTCCTACATTTACTATAAAGTTTTAAGGTGGGAGAGACCAGAAATGTACACCATTATTGCTGGTGAGGGCATACTATCGACTTACACATTTTGACCCTTTTTGTGAGTTGCTCCTCATGCTCTGTTGGCCCTTGTTACCACAGTTTTACACACAGTTTTCCAGAGTACGTGGTCGTCTTTATTTTATTTGGATAACTTTAAGAATCAATCCTTCTTACTTCTGTTCATCTCCACTACTCTGTTCTTCAACTAAAAAGACCTCCTCTAGACCTTTCTCAAAACTTCCTTGATAGCTGGTAAGTAACGGCTGTCTTTACCGTCAGGTATTAAGATACCCCAAAAGATGTGCTGGCACACAGATCAGAAGCCTGCCATATTGCTTGATCAGGGAATCTTACCAGTTTTGCTCTTGCTGAGTACAGATTTGGACTGAACATGTATCATAATGATCAACTAAATGGTCTTCCCCCAAACAGTACAGACATCTATGTGCAATTTTCCTTTTACAGGCAGGCACCAAAGACTTCAGAGGAAGACATCAGGAACAGAAATAAAATAAAAGCTACATTCTTGCCAGAGACAAGGAAGTAGCCTTACTGAGTAGCTGAGAGGATCAGAAATTGTGTCGTAGGCACTGTTTTACATACTCCGATACTGAAGATGCTTGATGGCTTTAGCAGGCAGGTGAAAGGCAGCATGCTGTCCATGTGGAGTGCAAGGGGGATGATATGGCATTGCGTGGTAGATGGTGTACCCCACCCAGCCTGCAAGCTTTCAAAGATTTTAATTAGCCAGCCTGTGGAACGCTTTAGCTGGTCAACCAGCTCCAGAACTAGCCACAATCACTGCCACCTTCTACGTCTCTCCTCATCTGAAAGAAGAGTAAGACAGTGCTTTCAACATATGACCCCTGTTCTAATTATTCAGCTATGAACGAGTCTCATTTCTAATAACGTGGATGAAAAAATAATGAGCACCATACTGTACACTTAAAGACATCCTAAAAAACCTCAACTGACTCACAGCAAAAAATCCCACTCCAGAAAGAACATCTAGTTCAGTTCATATTTCCAGAAAGAATGGGAAGTCTGGCATTTTATTTTTTGTAGATGGTTTATGCCGATATTATTTTCAGCAAAAGCGTTTAAAAATTACCATCATTATCAAAGGCACGTTTAGGATTAAAACTAATTTGAAA